GATGGCGAGGTTGACACCAGTGATGCTGCTGGTGATGGCAACACAGCAGCAGCAGCAGCAGCAGCGGCAACGGCAACAGAAGCTGACGAGCAACAGCGATGGCTGGACGATCCATCGTTGCACTACAGTTCAGCAGACGATGCAGCGGCCATCCTTCTCTCGGCCAGGCACCTGTACCGTCTGGCCAAGGGGCTGCAACAGCAACACCACCGCACACCATTGGATAGGACTGCACTTCTGCGTAGTGCCCTGGAGCTGCTGCTCGTAGCGCTGGGTATTTACAATGCACAGGTGAAAGTTCCTGTTGATAAGGTGATGAGGGATGACGGTACATTTGCTGAACATGCGGCCTGGCTGGATGAGTTGGTTAGTTCACTGGGATTGCAGTCCTTGCCTATCCTAGCCAAGCACTGGGTAGGCCGCCTGTCTCCAAACAAGACCATTAGCCTTATCATCGACCTGCACACAAGGCAAGGCCAGTCTGGCCTCGACTCGAATCTCACTGTGCGCATGATGCAAGCCTTTCTCTATGACATCGCCTTAGACTGCCTGCACTTCGGCAGCTGGATGAACACCAACATGCAGATGAAAGCGTGCTGCTTGTGTTTGCTAAATTCATGCAAGGTTCCTGAAATGGCTAGTGCATTGTTGGATGCTACACGTGCCGGCGCAGACATATGCGACGAGGTGTTACTGAGAGTTGCATCGGCCATGCTTGCCAAACCCAGGCGCTCACTTCCTGATTTTGTTAAACCACTGAATGTGCAGGACCTTGAAACAACGATGGAATTCAAGAAGAGGATGCGGCTTGCTGTTGACTTGGCTAGGGCTGGCGTCCACTCGTTGGCGACCGGACGCTGGGCAGCGTTCAACCACAGTCATTTGAGCAGCAACAATTTTGTCCGCCACTACCCAGCCGAGAAGTACCTTGTATACATTACACGCCAAGTTGCCTCCTTTGGTTCAGATTTCTACCTGCAGCGGGTGATACGCTCGTTGTGCGATGAGCTGCACAACCCCTACATACTGCACATGCTTGCTGTTGCTGTGGCTGAAGAGAGATCTCGGCGCCGGAGCCTGAAGTTGCACCTTGCTTTTCAGGAAGAGCCGGCCAAGTCGCTGGTGTCAAGTTGTACGGAGCTCTACAAGAAGCTCTTTTTCATCATGTTCCCAGAGCCTGGCAAGGATCGCGTGCCGGATATTGTTGCCGTCATGGTGCATTGCCGCGGTGCGTTCTACATGCTAAAGGACGGTAGGCGACGCTTCTGGGAACTGGAACGGGAGCTGACCGGACGCTATGGTACCGTGAGAGGCTTCAAGCGCACCGTGCAAGCGCACCTGTATCCGGACGCACCCAGCGACAACGGAGACTCCAAGCCGGTTAGTGCGCTACCGATGGCAGGCTGTAAAGAAACTGAAACGGACTTCATGTTCATGTGAGCCACACACTGCTCTTCACAATCTACTTTCTACTGCTGCTGCTGCTGCTGCTGCTGGTGGTGGTGGTGAGTGGATGTTCGACCGTGGACAGACTCAGTGGTAGCGTGGGCAAATACGGTCCGAATTGAGGCTCACTCTCTCTCTGACTGACCCATCTGATTTGCACAAGATTCTTCGACAACTGATCAGGTGTGAATGCTTCAGATCAAGTTTTGTTACAGACTTTTTTAAAGTAATCATGAGCTCGCACGTGCGAGGGTGCTTTGCATGGCTCCACGCTACTTCTCCCATTGACGTGGGAACTGCAAGTTTGTATAACTGAACCTCTTTCCTAGGCTATTCGTTTCTTCGCATGTACCCCTTTTCGCCGTCATGTCAACTTTGTTCTCACAAATTCTTCACGATGTGCACAGCGCGTGCAACATGCTGAAAGTCCCCAATGTCGCTGTTCGTGCTCCTGCTGTCCGTTTCTATAAAGCACTTGCAATTGCGCCACTGTGTGCCTTCCAGAGAACCTTACGAAAACTTGCTCCTGTTCGTCTGTATTTTCCAGCCTCCGCTCCAGCCTCTTTAGCTGACACACTTGTTTAGTTCACACCATGAAATACACACCTCTTTTTAACAACGTTAAACACATAGCTGGCCTATGTGTTGTTGTCACCACACTGCACGTGGTTCTACTGTGCATAATTCTTTACTGCAGCTTTATTGTTCACTCTGCAGTTTCTTTCTGCAGTTTTTTTGTCAATTTAATAGTCCTGCACTACAAAAGTGTTGTGTTTAGAAAAAGAAAAAATATATGACAACCCAAAGAGTTCCTTGAGCAGATGATATGGGCAAAGATGTAGCAAGATGTGATGACGGGGAAAAGTAGAAAATCATGATGGTGTGTACGATCCAAACAGATGTGGTCTGCATGAGCGAACGAACGCCAGGAACTTCAACTCACTGGACTCAGCCTGCCGGGCAGGAAGTCATAGACAACTCCCTGGTAAACACAACACTGAAAAATGCGTCTACTTCCGTTTTTTCCTAACTAAATGGCAACAAATCGAACATGCAGACATATGCAGGCATGCAGGCTTGAAAATGATGGCGAAAACGCTGTGTAGTTTTGTATGCCGCTACATACGAGCACCGTTTCATGGCTGTTTCATAGGCTGGAGTTTCTAAAACTAACTATTTGCACAATTTCAAAATGTTCTGGTCCAAAGGGTTCTGGAAAATAGGTTCAGCAGCCAAGCTGCAACACCTCTCCCGTCCCGCTATTTGCTCAATGCTTGCTTTACTGAGTCAGGCACCAGATCAACCAGCTCCTTATGGTCGGCGTTCAGCGAGGCCAGCACGCCGCGGGTGTTCTTGAGCGTTACATCGGCTGTGTAGCGATACTTGTTGCCGGCAATGTCCGTCAGATGACCGCCAACAGCTTCCAGCATGGCCTGGCCAGCGCATGTATCCCACTTGCTGGTACCGGGGCTGGCAAAGGCGTACACATCAGCACGACCTTCAAGTAGCATTAAAACCTTGCATCCTGCACCGCCCACGTTCACCTGGAAACAAAGAGAGGCAGAGTGAAACATGTTTTTAGTGGCACAAGTAAAAAAAGTATGTTAGCCGAGCAGGGGAGAGACTATAAAGGATGTGTACGATCTAGAACAGGATCAAACAGCTGGTGTACATGGAGCAGCCTCATGCCAACCAAACGGTACTCCAGAAACAGGGCACATTTGTGTGAAAGTGTGCCAAACTTGGTGCATTGGTGTACGGGTCACCATGGTCACTGTATACGGTACAACGAGTCCAACCCCAAAGCGTATGCACGTGATCATTTGGGACCAAAATCGATGTTCCCGTCCGGTTTCACTGTGAAAAAGTGAAACTGCTCGGTCTGCTCCGGCCTCGAGGCCGGAGCAAGCAGAAAATGTTCTGGCCGACCCAGAATAGGTGCAGTCCCAACCAAACGCGCTGTTCTGTTGAATCCTGTTCTAGGTTGTACCAACCAAACGCGCCCTAATGGTACTGAATTACAGCATGTTAATCCTCACAGCCATGGTCACATGAAGCCTGGGACACTGCGATGAGCCAGCGATGAGCCAGCGTACGATATGTACACACGATTACAATGTACAACATGCATTGCAGTACTGTCGGGCGCCGAAGAACTGGGGGGGGGGGGGGGGGGGGGGGGGTCAGGGTTCTAGCCTAGCCCGTTGTTATTTTTAGCGAACACAGCAGTTTCACTCTTATTCAACTGTACAGTACATGTAGTACATTTATGCAGAGTTATACGTCTGAGTGTACATTATAGTGTACATTACGGTTTCCGTTCTTATCTGCAAAAATCCAGCCTACACCGTTCTTAAATTAACAATTGGTGAAATTCTAGCCTGGCCGTTCTTATGGCGGTCCGTCCGCTCTTCGGTGTCCGACAGTTCTGTATTAGGCTTGGGGTTGCAAGAATGCAGAGCCTAAGAACACCCATTCAAAATAATTATGTCACAGCTCCGCATACTGACTTGGTGTGCATATACTATTGTATATAGTAGCCAAGTGTTCCGCTTCTGCTCCCTTCCAGTGCTCAGGTACATGTATATTGTAATTTTGCAAATTTTCGGTGTACTTCTATTTTCGGCACTTTCGGTGCACTTCTATTTTCGGCACTTTCGGTGCATCTGTTTCATACCTAAAATTTCAATAAACCGAACAAATACCAACACACATAATCCAATAGGAAACTGCTTCTCTGCACCTAAAATTTCTATTCACCTAACCTGGCCTTTTGCCCTCATACCGAAAATATTGAGCACCGAAAATTTCTGAAATTAGAGTTCATGTACATGTTATAGTAGCTACATTGTAGACCCATTCAAAAGGTGTACATACAAATTCAGAACGCAGCCTGGACATTTTTTAAGAATGTGGCAGCCTGGAGTCACTGGAGGCATGTTCTCGGAACCCGAGCCTTGTGTAGACAGACAAATTCTTGATTTACAGCATTTTAATAGTCGATACCGAAGTACATGCACTGTATAGTGTACATGAGACAAGAGTAAAGGGCCTAGGGTTGGGGTTCCATCTTTTTAGTAGACTGGCAACATTGTATTTGTTGACTTTCAGGAACATGTATCCGCTCATAACAAACCTGCTCTGTTGGCTTGAGCGCTTCAATCGTATCTTTGACATGACCGGTGGAGTGTGTTCTCGTGGAGGCGATGCTTCGTCTTGCTGGGTTCGACGGGGCAGTGTAGGTGTAGCCGAATGAACCGACACCAGTTATACCCCAGCAAGTGCGTCCTGCAGATGATGAGCTACAAATCCGGGCACATAATGGACACCAGGGAAGAGGATGAAAATGCACGTCCAGAAAAACACATGATTGTGTCAAGTTGTCTCCTGCATGGTCACAGTCTTAAAAACACATGACAAGAGCTACATGATATGCAGGACTGTTCAATGCACAGTGCTACTCAATGATATCCGAGTGAAGTACGCGCCGAGTGCTGTGCAGTTCTGGACTTGCGGACACTGGGATGTTCACTGGTACAGGGCACTATCTTGACTCACTCGATCGGATTTCATCGCGCAGCACTGTACGACATACAAGCTACAGGTACACGGCTGTTCAATGTCATCTGGGCATGATGAGTCAGCTAGCACCGGACGTGGTGCAGCCCCAGGCCTGCAAACACTGGACGGTGGACTGGTGCAAGGTGCACGTATCAGCGGGATCGGATATCATTGAGCACAACGGTAGATACTAGTAATCCGGCAGAGCGGTGGACATGGCTAGTTGATCAGCCAACCCCCTCCAATCACACCGGCAATAGTGACAACACACACACACACACACACACACACACACACACACACACACACACGTTTAACTCACGGTGTAGGATTGTCTGGTGACATACCAAAGAATGGCTGGTGAATGACACCGCAGGCTGCTTCACCCTTCACAGCTATACCAATGAGAACAGTAACATTGTCCCAGAAGCCTGGACAGGACAAGAACAAGAACAGCAGCAGCAGCAGCAGCAGCAACAGTAGCAGCAGCAATAGCAGCAGCAGCAGCAACAGCAGCAGCAACAGCAGCAGCAGCAGCAGCAGCAGCAGCAGCAGCAGCAGTAGCAGCAGTAGCAGCAAAAATTCAGGGTTGGCAGGTAGGCCTGTCCGTAAAAAGTGAAAAAATCACGAAAAATGGAAATTCAAAATTGGAAATAAAACCGACAAAAAACTATAAAAATTCAAAGCCGGCTGGGGAAAAAGTGGCTGTTGCTATGGCAACCAATTGCAGATATGGCGGTTCGCGCCAGATTCAAATCTATGTGGTTGTACTTTGGCGATCTAAAAGTGAGTTTGGAACTGGACATCCTGCTTCTTCTTGTCAGTTAATGTGTTTGGAGAGCATGGTCGTTGCCAAGTACAGTTGACCCTGTGCACGCTGAGTGGCAATTCTGAGTCTGAAGGTCCTTCGAACGGTGCTGTGAGCCTCTTGGATCGTCTGAGAGCTGGTCTAAGATGGGCAGCATCTTGTGCAGAAAGCCGATGCGTTGAGATGTGCGGACGGCAAGTTTTAGTGATTTCAAGCTGAAACAGCTTGTTGATTGCAACGAGTCCACCTACCACATGACATGAGATGCATACAGTCATTACATGCCCTAATCACCCCCCCCCCCCCCCTCCACAAACAATCATTTCATGACCGCACATGTACAGTCAGACCTCGCTTAGATAATCAAACACACATACTGTATGTATGCATGGCATATGCTGTAAATCGGCAACCAACGATTTTCTTCCGGATGGCAAGGGATCCGGATAAAAGAGGGCCGGGTAAGCGAGGTCTGACTGTACCAGTATTACCCGCTGTGTATGCGTGGAGGATTTCCCAGTGCTCGCAGAGAATCAAGGGAAAGAATTAGGGCTGAAACGATTGTATCGGCTATCTGTCTAATCGATCATTACAACGAAGCGATTTCGATTACGCGATTCTAAAAAAATAAAAAAATTAACGTGTCCAAGATGTCATGTACATGACTGATTGTATGTAGTAGGATACGATCATTTTTTTTACGTACATTGTAGATCGACAGCGTATGTACACATGCGCAACATGCTTTGTCTTTCTCCTCGTTTCTTTTTGTTTTCCGGTCTAGAAGCTCGAAGGGCCGGCTGTGTAATGGTAAAAATAAATAAAATAAATAAAAAACTGACTGTCTGCACCTGCACACTTCTAGGACGCAGTAATCGATATCATAATCGATAATCGAATCGATACAAGGGTAGGTTAACCGATAGTTGAAAAGTGTAATCGTTTCACCCCCACTGGCCCAGAAAGAATGCCAATACAGTAGTAGTTTCACTCACCTGCTGTAAACTCACTGGTCCCGTCTAATGGATCTACCCAGACAACAACCTTGAACGAGAAGAGAAATAAAACAGACAAACAGACAACCAGGTTGCCAGAAGACGACGAGGGCAGAGCAAAGTGATGCAGACATAGCAACTGTAACATTCGAACAGTACCACATGCATGCTTGCTCAGAATTGTCACTGGACGCCACAGCTAGAATCCTGCACTTACATCCGAGCCATCCGAGTGCAAGCCTTCAGGAAGAGAGCACTTGAGGACCTCCTCATCCAGACCGGTGTGCAATAGTGTCTCATCACATCCACCATCGATATCCTTGCACAGAGGAGGTACACAACACAAAACAGATTTAACAGCAGATGGGTCAAGCATGCCCTGCTTGCAATAGCAGGTTTTCAGTACGCGTGTCCGTGTGGGTCAGACGATCTAATGGCCACAGTGCAGCAGAACCTCCCCACCCCGGACCCCACACTCACTCACTGTACTTCATTTCATCTCTCATTATGTTCCAACGACACTGATCAACGGTGTAAGCCTGTATGCAGCAAGTACTTGCAAGCCTGTATGCAGCATGTACTTGCAAGCCTGTATGCAGCATGTACTTGCAACTCACTCAAACGTACATACAGCCATCAATCACATACATCACGATCGCCTGGCGACAGAGTCACCGAACCTAAGTGAACAATAGGTATCGGGATCGCAGAGGGGGGGGGGGAAGGAGAGAGAGAGAGAGAGAGAAAGAGCGAGAGAGAGCGAGAGAGAGCGAGAGAGAGAGAGAGAGAGAGAGAGAGAGAGAGAGAGAGAGAGAGAGAGAGAGAGAGCGAGAGAGAGAGAGAGAGAGAGAGAGAGAGAGAGAGAGAGAGAGAGAGAGAGAGAGAGATTACCAAATACAGTGTAGACAGTACATGCACAGATCATGCAGCAAGTAAGTTTCATACCTCTTCTCCAATGATGGTCACCGTGGGAAACTGGTGCTTTAGGGAGGAGATGATGCAGCGCTGTGCCTGCCGATCTGCCTCTGTTTGAGGGTCATCGGCACGGCCACCCTACAAAGTATGATAATAGACGGTTACAGGCACACCGTGTACATGTACATATAGTACCAGCACTCACAGGACAGGATCTAACACTATGCGCAGCACACTGCAAAAAACTACACGTTCTGAAAATGAGACATCAAATAATTAATTTTTTTTCGGATACATGTACAGTCAGACTTCGCTTATCCGGTCCTCTTTTATCCGGATCCCTCGCCATACGGAAGAAAATCGTTGGTTACCGATTTACAGCATATGTCATGCATACATACAGTACATGTATGTGTGTTCGATTACCCGGTTCCCTTGCCTATCCGGATATTTTTGTGTAAGCGATCGGACACACGGGTGAGAAGGTGTAATTACAGATTTTATGTTTCAGTCTAAGGAAAATGTTGAACGGCCTGTTGTGATCTTATCATCGTCACGGATGGCCAATCTCTTGTTGACTCGGTCAAGGCAGATCCCTGCTCCACAAAATCTCGGATGAGGATTCGCCAGATTGCCACCTATGTCATCACGAGTGTGAAGATGCTGACCACCTGATTCTTCGCTGCGTCAGCAGACGCCTCAACAGAGCCAGGGTAGATTTCGGCGTGTCAACGGCTGCATCGTCCGCCATCACTGACACACCCGAAATGGTTGTGCCGCTTGTGCGGTTACTTCAATTTGAGGAACTCACTTAAGGTGAGTGGCCCAGGCGCCTGGCTCCCCAGCCTGAAACACCGCCGACTGGTTGCTGCGCTTTCGTTCACGTTCAAGCTGTCCTACCTTCCAACAACAAGCCCCTGAAGCCCATCCTCCCACCTCCAGTCAACCCCCACCCAGTGGGTGGTCGATCCACTAGGTTAGCCACGGAGACTGCCCACTGCCACCCGCTCCAGCTCAAGTCGACGCTGCCCGTGCGCATTCGTAGCAGCCTCCAGGGTTCCTACCCATACTGCATCATTCCCCTGTGGAACAGCCTACCAGCGACCATTCTACCAGCACGGCCGCAACCCAGACAGCTCCAATCCTTCAAGGAAAAATGCAACAAGTAGCTGCGGCACCTGAACTGGCAAGCAGCCACCGACGCCCCATGAAACGGTTTAGACCAGCGCCTCACTAGCATCCTCCCTCCCCCCCCCCTTACCACAATGTGACGTTATCTTTCACGCTGCTTCTCTCACGACCATCTACCCGTTGTCCTCGTTCCTCACTATTATTCATTTCCCCTCTTTCTCCCCTCCTCATGGTTTTACTGCATTATGGCGCGCTTTGTCTGCGTAGACGCCGAGACCTTTGAGGTCGGCAGAGCAGCCTGGCCCCGCCACCACTTCTCGCACATATTCGGGAATATATTGGACTTTCGTATAATAATTTTTTTATTTTTAAACTCACCTAAAATAAGTGCACGTGAGCAGTAGTCTCCACGACGACAATCACGACCATCATATGCACACCGAGAGTGACCGCGGGTTTCCAACATACCTGTGCCGCGGGTGGCTTGTTCGACATCGGTCGCAACACCAACAACCCCGACAGCAGAGCCTGAGGCCACACATGGAGCGCCGGCATTTCCGCTCTCCCGCGGCAAGGGGTGTCACCCATCACCTGATGATGAAGGGTTCATTCGAGCATCGGGCAAACATACATTCAGCGCCACAGTCCTGGCATCAGATCCTCAAATTGCATACAGTAGACTCGTACGCCCGTGGCGCCCAAGAACGTCCAGGCTGGAAATCTAAGAACGCCCCAGCCTGGATTTAAGAACGAACTCCAAGGTTTTTAAGAACGCGACATTTTTTGAAAAGGAGAGAGAGAAATAGACGTGATTGAGCGCCGGTTTGTTTTGCAAGCAAATTGCACCTTCATGATCTTGTCCGAGTACACGAAAAACAAGTCCGCAACCACAAACTCTTGTCGGGTCCTTGCGAAAACATCACCCAGTGCAGCGCTACATACTACACGTGCATGTAAAGTGTACAACCGGTACATGTAGCTCAAAGTGCATTGTACATGTACATGAGCGTCACAGGTCATGTTGGACGCGTAAGAACGCGAAATAAGAACGTAGCCTGGGGCGCTGAAAAATAAGAACTTTGCTAGGCTGGCCCTCTGAAACCGCGTTCTTGGGCTTACGAGTCTACTGTAGGCACATGAGGCGTCTGAAAATGAGATGAAATGCCTTGCCCACCGAGCGAGGCACCGCAGAGGAAGCCAATAACTGTCAAAGAATAGCTTTAGCTGTTTGTGATCTTGATGTCATCTTAGTCCTCTTTCATGATTGTCCTTTTCTCTTACTAAACTTAATTTCACTGTTATTTCGTCTTTAAATCCAGACACTCATCTTATGAATACCCACTGCTGAACACTACTACCTTTGAACTTTTGCGGTACTTCACAGCACCAGTCGATATTCAAGCTGTGCTATTTACCACCGTCCCAAAGACTATCATCTCCCCTGAGTTTTGTTCTAACGTTATTCATTTAGCAGACCCAGTGCTGATCGCGCGATATCGCTGGACCATGATTAGTCTTTGTAGACTGTGCATGTGGATTAGACATCTCGACTGTCCGCGCATCTACCCGCTGCAAGCTACCCATGCCTGGCTTGAGTGCCTGACACTAGCCGTTATCATGGACATGTACCATGTGTACCTATGTGGACATGTACCTAGGCTAGGTACGGCTAGGGCTAGGCTATACCATTCACTGATTCACTGATTCACTGATCCACTGATTCACTGATCCAGAAGAAAGGCGGCAACCCGCAGCTAGCGCAGAGCTGGCCAGATTCCTCGACTTCCAGAGTGCAGTGGCACCCGGACCGGGGTTTTGTTCGTCTCCACGCTGCGATTCTCGACTCACATACGCCAGGTTACCACCAGGGCCCTCCAACGCCTCCACTTTCTCCGGAAGGTGGCGCCACTCCTGACAGCACCTGGCCGTATTGCTGTGTACAATGGCTTCATACGACCAACCATGGAGTATTGCTGCCTGGTCTGGATGGGGGCTCCACTGGCCTGCCCAGACGCAGTACAGTACAGGGCACTAAAGCTGATAGGCCCTGGAGTCTCCGTACCAAGCCTGGAGCATAGGCGCAGGGTGGCGGCCCTGAGCTTCCTGTGCAAGCTCTGCTTCCTCCCACCGACGGGCCCCTTGAAAGCAATTTTGCCCAAACCTCTCCAGCTGGCGGATGAAACCCCCAACATCCGTCTCTCCGCCCAGCGACGCCAGTCACACGAATTTCCCTTGGCGTGCATCCTGCCTCGCCGTTCCCGCTCAACCATGGCCAAGGCTTTCCCTGCTTGCCTGCTGAGCACATGGAACTCCCTGCCTCAGAAAATCCTCGCACAGCAGCCATACAAGAACGGGATGCTGTAGTTCAAGAAAATAGTCCACCATCACCTGCTGACCAGCAACTGGATGCAAGCAACCGACGCCTTGTAAACAATTTGCTGAACTACACGCTCTCGTGTACTCTCTCTCTCTCTCTCCTCTCTCTCTCTCTCTCTCTCTCTCTCTCTCTCTCTCTCTCTCTCTCTCTCTCTCTCTCTCTCTCTCTCTCTCTCTCTCTCTCTCTCTCTCTCTCTCTCTCTCTCTCTCTCTCTCTCTCTCTCTCTCTCTCTCTCTCTCTCTCTCTCTCTCTCTCTCTCTCTCTCTACCTCTTTTGCATCACCAGGCAATTCGCCACCTCATTTTGCTCCCTCTACATTACACATGTTTACTTTTTTCTTTCTTTCTTTTCTCACGTCTTGCCCTTGGTTCTGTCTTCCCTTAAGATTCTCTGCTGGACTGTGCACTTTAGTATTAAAAAAACTTCCATGTACTTTAATCCCATTCTCCAAAACTCTATTTTGGTCTTCTCACGATTTGTTCCTACATCATCATGCAGTCCGTAGACTGGACACTAGTACTGCATATACTAGTGGTGAAACGCTTCGGGTAACGAACCGGTTTTGGAACCGCTAGCTGAAAAGAATTGGGTACCCGTTCCGTCAAATTTCGAACCGAAACTCGAAAAACCTCGTTCTCGTACAAATACATGTACACATCAAGTCTACTCAAGATTTAAATGTCGTACGGTCACCGCCCTTCCAAAGGGTTCTCCTGGTCATTATCTTCGTCGCACATGGACTCTCCGATGTCTCGTTCTTGCTCGTAAAAATGTTTTCTAAAAAATAATTGTCACGAAGACACGAACGCATTTTGTCGGTCTGGAGAAAAGAGTGTATGGAACCGATACCCGAACCGTGGGAGACTATGCTGGCATTAGGGTGCCCGAACATGAAAACATGAAAAACATGAAAAACATGAAAAACATGAAAAACATGAAAAACATGGAACCGTTTCACCCCTAGTATATACAGTAAAACCTGGTGTAAGCGACCTCTGTGTTTAGCGACCTCTGTGTTTAGCGACCTCTGTGTTTAGCGACCTCTGTGTTTAGCGACCTCTGTGTTTAGCGACCTCTGTGTTTAGCGACCTCTGTGTTTAGCGACCTCTGTGTTTAGCGTCCTCTGTGTTTAGCGACCTCTGTGTTTAGCGTCCTCTGTGTTTAGCGACCTCTGTGTTTAGCGTCCTCTGTGTTTAGCGACCTCTGTGTTTAGCGACCTCTGTGTTTAGCGACCTCTGTGTTTAGCGACCTCTGTGTTTAGCGACCTCTGTGTTTAGCGTCCTCTGTGTTTAGCGACCTCTGTGTTTAGCGTCCTCTGTGTTTAGCGACCTCTGTGTTTAGCGTCCTCTGTGTTTAGCGTCCTCTGTGTTTAGCGTCCTCTGTGTTTAGCGACCTCTGTGTTTAGCGACCTCTGTGTTTAGCGACCTCTGTGTTTAGCGACCTCTGTGTTTAGCGTCCTCTGTGTTTAGCGTCCTCTGTGTTTAGCGACCTCTGTGTTTAGCGACCTCTGTGTTTAGCGACCTCTGTGTTTAGCGACCTCTGTGTTTAGCGACCTCTGTGTTTAGCGTCCTCTGTGTTTAGCGTCCTCTGTGTTTAGCGTCCTCTGTGTTTAGCGACCTCTGTGTTTAGC